TTATCAAATCGATCATCGACTTCTGTGCACAAGCTTCCCGGTACCAGGTGTACTGATGCACTTTTCGATAGTCGAAGAAGGTGTTCATAATGGACAGTCCGTTGTTTGCTCAAAACCGCAGCAACTTCATGCCGTTATTGTTGATGCCGCTAGGGCCTTTTTTCCAGTCACGCCGTTCCACTTTTCAGCGTCTATTCCGACATGCGCATTGAAATCGTCCATCATTATGAGGAACTGTATTCGGCACTTCAGACAGAGCACACTGCACTTCGTCAAGGAGGGTCTGATATTCTCCCTCCAAATTGGGCGCATAGACCTGTGCCTAGGTCATCGCTTTAGCCTGTTGTAGCCTCAGTCGAAGAATTACCACCCTTCCGCTGACAGTCTTCCAATGGATAATTCTATCGTCAAGGTTGGGTTCTACCAGAACACAAATACCAGCCTCAGCTCGAGTCGTGATATCGACGCCTGAGTAGAATAGCTTCCGTCCATTGCGGTTCAGGGGTCGAGAGCCTTGGGTTTCGTTGGCGAGAGTCCAACAATGTCGAGTTGGTACTTTGTAGCCTAATCAACTAACTTTTGTTTTTTTACTCTGTGTGAGGATATGTTCCAATTTCCAACTTTTAGCTCCCACTGGTGATGTCTTCTCGTGGTTCCTTTTCTGAGTGCTATAATGGCATCACACTGTCTGCCTCCTCCGTTCAGAGCGGGTAGCGACTCCGTTGCTGACTGGTGTCTTCGTCGCAGTTCCGTCGTGCTTCGTGAGGTGTTGTTGTGCTGCTACGCCTCCGACTGGCAGAGGGCAATGAACAGGTTCTGATCGTCGACTTTTCGCAGTCTCCCTCAGTCCCCGAACAGCCGTGACGATGACCACGCCGGTATGATTTGCGATGGCGTCAATACAATGAGTTCCAGGTGGCTAGATATTACGGAGACTTGCCATGGTCTCCAACCCTCCTCGTTTTTCATCCGGGTTTGGGACTGGCAACGATGGAGTTTGCATATATGCATGATTCAATTTTATAGTACCCTAGTGACCTCGGAAATCATTTTTTATTTCTTGTTTTTCGATAGTTTCCTGTGTTTTTCAGTACATGTAACGAGAAACAAAAGCGCTAAATTTTCGTGCTATTCGATCAGTCAACCACTAGTTTAAGTTATTTGCAAGAACGTTCGAATTGGCCGCATTATTTTTTATTTTGTTGCATGGGGATGCTTGCAAATGTTAGGTCAGTTGATCAGTTTCGCTTGTTTGTTCGTGTCACTATTCATGTGTCAGGGGGCGTTTGATACATTTTTCAAATGGCACTAACACCTATGTTAATTTGCTTACTAAACAAGCGAACGTTATGATGAGTGATTGGTTGCTGCGAGGCTTTTGATATTGCTGTTGAACGTTGACTTTGCTTCGTAGTTTCAACGAAATGTTACTGTTTACGTTGTCTCCAGATTTTACGGCACTGATTTTACCTATGCTTGGTGCATACAATGTTGAAGATAACATGATTGCCAAAATATGTAGTTTGACCTTCATTTTTTTCCATTTTTAAGGATATTATGATGGATCACAGTTTACGGACAATAAGGTAACTCATTTTCCTCGTCAGTGAGAGCTGCAACTCTTTAGTATCGTTTAGTTACATAGCTGACATAGGCGACTTGCTGGTCATAATGGCTCGAAGAGTTTCCCAATCAGCTTCTGACGGACAGGGTGTTTCCATAAAGCAGATTCCAAAGATGATTTGTCATGTTTTTGAATCTGAAGAAGTAAGTGTTTTGTGATGTATGTACAGTGTATTTAGGTTTCTACAATCATTATTATTGTTCCGTACTATGCTTCTGTCGTCATGGTTTACTGTTTTTTCGAGCTGCAGGATGATCAGGTTCAGAAGCTCTTACCACAGTTCTCTCATTCTTTACCAGTCTGCGATACTTCGTTGGTGGATTCCAGAGTAGCCTATATCAGTGGCTCAACGTGAGTCAGCACCTATTGACCCCTAGATCTTCTCCTTGGCATCCTAAATAATTCTCACCGTATTGGCAATCAGATTCGTCCAATCGCTACGTCGTTTCACTGTGTTATATGACATAACAAGGTCACTTTTCGTTCAGAGAAATGAATGACGTCACCGTCAACAACAAGTCTAAACAAAATCATTTAGCTTATTTTCATATTTTATGCATTGAAACAGTATCAGGGATGCTATTTTATATTTATTTGTTGATATTACTCATGAAGGATTTTTCGGATCTTCTGCTTGTGGTTCCTGCAAGATTGTAAACTTTTATCTTGAGAGTAGACAACACAGTGAAAGGGATGTCGCCGTACGTTCGTTGCAGCGTAATATGAGACTAATGCGAATTTTCGCCATCTTTCTATCCGGGTCTGTAGTCAAAGTGCTCTTTTCCTAGCGTAAATGGCTTGAAGTTTAGCCCTAATTGTCGCTGTCTCTTAGTCGACCATTTCAGGGCTCATGGTAGGTTTTCACGGCTCAGGAAAATATCTCCCACCGTTCTTCGCATCATCTGCGATTCGTTGCTTCCTTTGATAGTTACTCGCTTTCCGCGACAGGTGCGCTAAGGCTGAATTTTCTGCAAGCTATATTAGTATAATATTTAAGTTTGACGCTTATTTTAGAGTACCTAGTACTTTGCTTGATCAAGTGTAGCACCTGTGTTGTTTAAAAATTTCATTAAGATAGATTTCTGTAGGGCAGAAGTTTGTTTCGCTAAAATGGCGGCGATATTGCGGAATGCAAAAGTCAGTATAACTAACGGTAAATAGAAAATGTCTTCTGTCCTACCCCAAAAGCGGTATAGTAGGTAAACGTGCCCGGTAAGCTATAATGGACACGACTTCTAGCACCAGGGTTAAAGTCCTTGCCAATCTTTCCCACTGTCCATGGCCAAAATTACGTGAGGAGTAAGGATCAAAGTTCCGCTATATTGTTCAACGTTATATTGCGGACGGCTTAATCTGATTTCCACTGTTCCAAACATGGCTACCCAAAGTGGCGACCGTAAATTCTTGTGATTCCCAATTACGTGACCACTCATATCTAACACTCGCTCACAGCGATATCAACTTGACAGGAATTGTCAGAGCTCTTCTCACAGGTAGAAGACGCTGTCCTATACACTCCGGCGGATCGAAGCACATGAATAGCGACATTTATCGTCAGGCAGCCAGTTCGGCCAGTCCAAACAGCTGACAGCCGATTTCTGACCGGCTACTGCAGGTGTATTTTTATTTTTGCAACCGCCACCTCTCGATTGTCGTTGCTTATGCTCTGACAAAGGAAGCCACCCTGGGGAAGGAGGATTGCTCATTCCAGAAACTTGAATCCATTCTGCTTACCGTCCTTCGATGATGAACATTTTGTGTTCAGTGACCTCAGTACCGAAGTCGATTAAGACAGATCCAGCTTCAAATTGGTGATATGGAACTTCGCATCCGGAGCTGCAAATGACAACTCTATCCGCCTCCTCATGTGCTCATAGTTCTAGCGCCATAGAATTCATTGGTGGATTTGGTTATTACATCGACGATAACACGATCGCATTCTTACATGGCACAGAAATGCGGCATAATAAAGTATCGTAGAATCTGCCACAACGCACAGAAGCACCTGCTCCAACTGGCCATCATTTGGTTTTGGCTAAATTCGGTATCCTGCCGCGACACTATGCCAAATCTGCCACGCTGAACAACTGATGCAGTATCGGCCGCTATCTCTAGGACAGCCTAATTGCTGAAACATGTACTATCGACATCCGCAACTGCCTTCGAGCCCTAGGCTTTCTCGATTCCGTTGACGTGAAAGCATCGGTATAGTCTTAGCACATCCACTATAAGGTCAGCAGATAAGCCGATTAGATTAAAGCTCAACAAAAAGTAGGTCTGGCTATCCGAAGAAACGCTTAGCGTCTTGTTATTGACGGCCGAAGCGCAAAAATGTCGATTACGTGGAACAGCGACGTTCACAAGACATCTTCAGCGCTTAGACAAAGGCACATTGCGAGGTCGACGTGAAGTGGATTGCTCGGCACTCGTCTTAGCACTCAAAGGCATTTGAATTCCGGATCTGCTGCTCAGCCGTTTACGCGTATTCAGACTGGCTCAGCTCTCTCAA